AGCACATATACTCATAAATACATCAATGTAATGAAATTACTGTTAATGTAACGACATGAAAAACATGTTTAAAAAAATATACTGTAATTTTTGAAAAAGCAAAAGAATAGAGCAATATGGCATTATAGAGCGCTTTTAGCACAAATCCCACCAAATGTTTAAAGGAATAATTTGTAGCCGTTTGTGAGAACATCTTTTTTTTGAAAAATGAGTTTTTGTAGTTTTTTACAATTGCCCATATTACTCGAAAACTATTAACATCTGTAAAGAAATGTGTATAACCTACACATATAACCTTAATAAAAGAACTCGCTATGGAGAACAAATTTTATTTGAAGGAAAAATCTCTATCGTAGTTTGAAGTTGTAAGAAGACGCCCGAAAAATTTTGAAATTTTCGAAAATTTGGAATTAAAACTGAAACTCTGACCTATGCCACCTTTATAAGTATATTTTACTTTAATCTTGAAAGAAATTGAAAGAAAAAAATTGAAGCCGATTTTGAGAAAATTTTAAAATTAACCGGAAAGCTTCATGTAAAGTACTCCTAAATTTTAAAGATTTTTTCCCCAAATCCCAACGATTCGACTCGAGCCAGATCGACACCGGTTTCTTCTATTTGGAAAGAATCTCAAGCATGATTTAGGCGCTAGTAGTGTTCTAAGACACCAGACGGACGGACAGACAAACGGACAGACGGACGTTTTGAAAACACTTTTTGGGTATCAGGGGACCTCAAAACGTGTTTCCGTTGAAATCTCGTAATAGATTTTTCGCTGCATTGCATAACTTTCCCAATACTTCGTGTATTACTCGGTATACGTACGCATATGGGAAAGTAAAAAAAAACGACCTAGTCAGCTGAAGAAGAGAAAGAGACCTTGAAGAGAAAGTTGTTTTAAAAGATAATGAGAGAGATGTGATCGATGCAACAGTGGCTAGTATGTTTAACAAATATTTTTCGTGAGTTGCTGCTGATCTTACTAGGGACTTACGCTACAAAATTTAATTTCAGATGTTTACACAAAAAGTTTAGACACGATGTTTGTTCCCGAAACTTCAGCTTTTAATATTCTTGGTAAAAATAATTGGTAAACTAAAAAAAAAATATTACACCGAATTATATGAATTTACGGATTAATTGTTAGTCTTGTAATTGCCATTATACACCTATGAACTCACATATTGTATGCACCGGAACATTTCCAGATATTTTCAAAACTTCTTAAAACACACTTCAAAAAAGGAATAGAGATTAAATAAAAAAATTATCGGCGAATTTCTATTTTGACAGTTTTTTAAAAAATATTAGAGATACTTTTTACATACGAATGGAAAAATTTCGTAGTATATACGAAGCGTTTTCAGATAGCCAACATGGATTTAAAAAATCAAAGTCTAGGGAAATTACCACATTTCCTTTTCTTAAAGATGTCGCTTAATCCGAGGATCAAACTGAAGCTCCTCTTGGAATTTTTTAGGTTAAATAATATTTAACAAAACCACTACTAGATATGAAATATCAACGAACAGGTTAGGTTTTAATAAACACGATATACAAATACTATTACCAGTAACATGAACACTGACAAAGTAAATTATGGGCGAGTGAGTCATTTTTTTTATTAAAGAATACATAAAAATTATTTGTCGTCAACTTGCTACGGAAATCATGAAACGCAATTTACAATGCAGTTAACAAACAACAAATATGATCTATTTTTGCAAATATTTCATTTTATTTAAACACGTGTTTTCCCAAATATTACAAAACAACTGTAACATATGCTCTTTTCATATGTTTCTTAAACAGCTCTAAATATAATTGACTCTTCCTTACTTCCGCATTAAGTAACAAATGACTCTCTACGATTCTGCTTTTATTGCCACATTCCCATTATACACTCAATCCCTTTACGTGTGACGGAAGTTACACATCGATTTACACGTTACATTTGTGCATATAGAAACAGTTTACAAGTTTGTAGTAAGTATTGGCTGAGTTAGCTCGGAGCCAGCATGGCCGTTGTCTCTGCAGTGACTCTGACAGGGAGGTACTAGGTTCGAGACCCAACGATGACGGATTTTCGACACCAGATAGGTAGCTAGATCAAATTCTGCTGTCTGGAGGCGAACATTAGCGGGAGGTTGCTCTGATCCATTGCAGTAATTTTCGTGGCTTCTTTTTTCAATACCAGGCGAACACCGAAGACGTATCCTAGCAAATGGGCCACGAACCGCGCAGTATACTTCCTCCCCCTTATTCCCTCCTTTCTCTTTAGGCGAATACTGACATTTGCACTACAAAATTGCACATGTCGGGAGAGTAGTCGGAAACATCATGCGTGTCCCGGTTGGGGCGGTTTCGCTGTGGGTGATACTTGAAGAGGGGAAATCTTCCACCAGGCGACATGTATATCTGCGCCGGGTTTCACCATCCAGCTTACTATGTTGAGTGTTATAGTTATTGATACACGTATGGTTTAAAAATATGTTCCCGACATTTAGTAAACCATTTTTTACAGAAATCAATGATTCGTAAATCAAGAGGCATGTACATTATGTGATTAAAAGTATCCGGACACGTGGCTGAAAATTACTTACCAGTTCGTGGCGCCATTCATCGGTTATGCTTCAATAATTCAATAGGGTGTTGGCTCACTCCTAGCCTTGATTACAGCTTCCACTCTCGCAGGCATACTTTCTGGAAGGTGTCTTGAGGCCTGGAAGGTGCTGGAAGGTTTCTTGGGGAATGGCAGCTCATTCTTCACGGAGTGCTGCTCTGAGATGTATCGATGTAGGTCGGCGAGGTCTGGCACGAAGTCGGCGTTCCAAAACATTCCACAGGTGTTCAATAGGATTTACGTCAGGACTCTGTGCAGGCCAGTCCATTACAGGGATGTTATTGTCGTGTAACCACTCCACCACAGGCCGTGTAGTACGAACAGGTGCTCGATCGTGTTGAAAGATGCAATCGCCACCCCCAATTGCTCTTCAATAGTTGGAAGCAAGAAGGTGTTCAAAACATCAACGTAAGCCTGTGCCGTAATAGTGCCACAAAAAACAAGGAATGCAAGCCTCCTCCAAGAAGAACACGACCGCACCATAAAACCATTTTGGACGTGTCCGGATACTTTTAATCACATAGCGTGTATGACAGCTTTCTAGCCTAATAAAGTGAGGCTTACAAGAGTCATGTGGGGGATTGTGTTACTATTCATACAATTATTTTCTGTAATCTAAAACTCTGTAATTATAGGATGTTTTTCCCAAATCATTATGCTGTTTTTCACGCGAGAATAATCATTCCCTAGATTGTACCTAACAAGCAGTATGAAGGCTGACTGAACGTGAATTCTGAACTCATAGCATAATAAACTTAATTTTGTGTCCAATTCATTTACATGGATATTTCAATTCAGGTTTGACTGAATTGAGGGACCCAAACATTTTGTTATTTTAACATCAATGCTACATAGTTCATATTCAATGTAGTGTACAATTGTTCATTTGAAATGGAAAACTGTACTGAATCCGCTTTCCCTTCGTCTCCTAATAACCTGTGTTATTGAGGATCCAATTTGAAACATTTTTTATTGCAAAGAATATTCAGATAATCAGCAAAGAGAACTGTTCTTCTGTTTCGAATGGCCAAGGGCATATTGTTAAATTATATTATGAAGAGAATAGGGTCCTGTAATAGTAAATAATGTCCACTCATTCCAGTACGGTATTTCGCATATCTGTCTAAACACAAGTTTCGACAAAATGCAACACCCACAAAGTTCACGTTTATTTTGGCAAATGACAGCCAAGATATTTTCGTGCATCATCCTGTTCGTGAGAGTCCAACTTTAACTGCCACGTACTACAGATCATTCCTGCTGCACACTCTTTGTCGTACACTGCGGAGGAAACATCCTGGAATGCAATACTCCTCTATGATTATGCAACAAGTCACACTGCAGCCTGTGTCCATAATCTTGTGCGACCGTGTGGGTGCGAGATCTTGGAACACCCTCCGTACTCCCCTGATCTCAGCCCGTGTGACTTTGATCTCATTCGAAAAATTAAGACGCCGTTGCGTGGGAAGCGGTTTGCAAATGGGGAGGACATTCTAACAGCGCATCGACGAGAGGTGGCGCGCATAGACACATCACACACAGCTGATGGTATTCAGCGTCTTCTTCATGGCAACGAAATGTTGACGTCTTGGGGAATTATTTTTGAGGTTGGTAGCTCGTAAGAGTACGAATATTACGCGTGCATTTTTGTTTTGTGCATATGTAATTCGGATAAAACAATTATCTCAATAATCGGACGTTGATTTCAATGTCCGACACATATAGCGCCTTGTACCTCGATACTAATTATAATAATTTTTATATCAGTATTGCGAATAACATTCCACCGACTTTGTCATATATACTACCTTATATACTATCGTATATAGTTGCCATGGCTTCTGAAACGACTCGCGTATATATAAACATACGGTGGACGTGACGGAGAAAGAAGATGGGCTATTGTTTATTTTTTCCATCTTCTTTTTACATTTCAATAAAACCATTCCAAGCAAAACTCATGTCTAGCAGAGTTAAATAAAATAAATGCCATTTACAAGAAATATTTTTAAATACTCTGCTATTCTCAGAGATATCAAATCTTCAGAATATCTCGTTTCGTTACCCCCGAATATAGAATACTGTCTGGAGACGGTTTGACGCCATTTTATGAGATAGAAGCATCTTGTTGTGCTCCTTGTATTCTTGTGATATCTATTTTTAACGAATTGAGTGTGTTTGATTTGATTTAGTTCCTTCATTATTTGTTTCAGGTTAACTGGTATCAACTGAAGACAAACATTAAAAAAAATGGTACGACACATCATGAACTCTACTCCCACGCCTTTTCGGGCTAAAAACCAATACATTTCACCTGCCTTTCTCTTCACCCACCCTCTCATACCTCGTCCTCTGAACCTATTTTCGCTTCTTCCAGTCCAGTACCAATATCTCTCAACCTGAATTAGAATACCGCGACTACGATGCAAAAATTCTTTCAATTATAAGAAACGCAAACACCATGGTGTTGATGGCTGGCGTTTGGAATTTGGGCCTGACTGGAGAGGAACTTCTCGCGCACGGGGGCATCGCAGGACACGTTCTGACACAGGTAAAGAGTCGTTTACGTACCAAACAACAATGCGCAATGATTTTTCTATTATTGGAAAATACCACGTGTGTAACTTCGTTAAATGATATTTGGAGAGCGTAGGCTTCCGCGGCCGGAGTCAGTATTTACTAGGCTGTCCGGGCGACGCCGCGTCCACGGCGAAGGTGCCGACGTTTCGGTCGCCATTCTGCGACCTTCCTCAGGGCGTAATGCCAATGCTTCCTCAGGGCATTACGCCCTGAGGAAGGTCGCAGAATGGCGACCGAAACGTCAACACCTTCGCCATGGACGCGGCGTCACCCCGAGAGCCTAGTAAAAAATGATATTTTCCCCTATAACTTCATCGTCAAAAATTGATCATCTTCGAGCCCTCTATACTCTCTGGAAGTTTGCAACATTTTTTTATACATTCTGTATTGTACCGAGATAGTTCGATTTTTATTAGAATGGGATGATTTGACCGCTAGTGCTGGCAACACAATTGAAGGTTCTGTGGTCGTTGTGTCCTTGAACCTGTTAGACTCTCCTTCCTCCATCCGTTCGTTTGCAGTTGGCTAACTTGTAAGTGGCTTCGACTCTTCTTTTTGTGATGTCCTCGTCCGACGAAAATATAGTACGCCACGAGAAATAATTAAAATTGGGAAGTGCAGAGCTATGTGCTCCTCTGTAAAAAATATTTTTATATATATTACATTGAAATTAGTTTTTATGTGATAAGTGTTATGTTTCTTTTAAAATCGTGTCTTGAATGTGAGATGCGTGCTGGTGACGGTTCACTTGTTTCCGGCTTCTGCGCTGTGTGGCGACTGGCGAGCTGTGTTCGGGAGCGTCAAATTTATTCCTTCATCATCAACATCATTGTATTGAGAATTAGTATTTAAAATATTCATTTGAAAACTGAATGCTTGTAAAGGAAACAAATCTCAAGAAAATTCAGTGAAGCGTTTAGTTGTGGATGCAAGAATACAAGTAAAAGGTAGCATTCACTGTTTAGATGTTTTAATTGGTGAGAGAGAGTATAAAGTATGTGCCTATTGTTCATCCAAGAAAGAGATTAAAATAGACATACTAGATAGATCAAGGAATGCATTGAAATGCATAACATTAGTGAAATATGAAACAATTATTAAAACACATTTGAGTTATGAGAGCATAGTACCAAGTTTTGATAGTCGCCACACAGGGTGTTATGATTATAAATAAACCACCCTCTTCACTACAAAAATGTATGATCGTACGAATTTTTTTTCAGGCGACGTTGAAGTACCTTTTCTGGACGTTTCACAGTGAAACTGTGAAACGTCCAGAAAAGGTACTTCAAGGTCGCCTGAAAAAAATTCGTACGTTCATATACGTTCTACCTAAGCGCAACTCGAACTTCTGTATAGTGATGTCTTCGCGGAAGCCGTAAACAAACACTACGAAGGGTCGTAACTATACAGCTGACGCGGAGGAGGGATACTTTCTGAATTACACGTGTTCACTTGTTTCGAGAACTGCGACTTTAGCCCATTCTTATAAAAATCGCTCTCTACTTACGAACACTAGATTCAGATTAGATTATTTGTAATACGAGGAGGGGAGTATGCGCGAGTGAAATAATTGTTAACAAACCCCCTATTTAAGCTGCTTGTATAAATTGTAATAATTAATATTTGCAACCTACACTTAGGCATCTTGCTGGCCCAGCATTGGGGACATATTATTTCATATTTGAGAATACAATTAAACTAACATAAACCTAATAAAAATTAATGTAATGATTTTTGAAGAAAAGAGATAAATAGGAAAGTACCTAGAGACAAACTTAATTGAATTAAATAAAAATTAACAGCAATTATGTAGAGTTTACATGCATTATATTGGCGTAATCAGAGCAATACTGACGCATATACGCGCGAGCATATACTCTCTCGCATTATTTTTAATTTGGAATTTTGGAAAATTTAGAGAAATCAACGAAAATGAAACGCGCGGCATTATTTTATGCGTCCCGTCATCAATACGTGAAAAAAAATTGAAGAGCAATTTTGAGCAGATTTTGAGAATTTGTTTTATAAATTGTCTTAATTTCAAGCCTAATTACGAGAAAATACTTCCTTTAAAAATACCTGTACATCACGTTTATTAAAGAGCTGAATTTTTGGAACAGACAGTGTCTAAAGTGTGTCTATCTTCGGTGTCAATGTATCTATTTATCTTCAATTTTATAGTTTTGAAATGTTAACTTTTTGCAGGTTTCGAAAATACATATTTCGTCGAAAATGTAACAAGCACCATCATTTTTATCGTTTCTTGATACATACGAGGGAAAAAAATTTGGGGGAAAAATTTGGCGCCGCTTTGGAGAAAAAACTTTTTAAAAATTCCCGATGTTTTGCGCAATTTACGTGAAAACTATTCATATGTTCGAAAAATTGAATATGACGTACAATCTCTCAATATTCAGTTGTAGGAAGACGTTATCAAAGTCCTTAGTGAATTATAAAGTATATTTGTTGCACTCTGTGGTCAAACACTGCTTTTAGTGAACCCGGTGAATTCGCTATAACACATAGCAATATGACCTTATTCGTTTGTAATGCAATGTATTGTTTTTTGTTACGTATTGCCTTTTTTACTAGAAACATGTCAACTACTGACAATTATATAATGAAGTAATTGAAGCTCTACCATTTATAAAAATGTGCCAGAAATGCTTTTTCACTGTTGTATGTTTCAGTCGGTAATGACTTCAGCAGTCTTCTCAGCGACTTCATATAAATGATTGATTGGTGGTTCCAGCTGCGTCAACTGTTTAGGTCATTCATTCCATAACTGTAGTTCATTTTTATCGTGGGAGATGGAGGCGATCTTCCCCTGCTGCATTGCGAGACCAGTCGGCGTGTTGTTTTTCGCAATCAGGAATACCCACTAGCGGGGCACCGTTTCAGCCGGGACAAGCTCTGACCTCCCGAATGGTCTCTCGACGTGAGTAGTGATGTTGTGCATGTAAGTGTGTGTGTGAGAATGGCGTGCGCATAGAACAAGGAAGTGGAAGGAAAGATCGCGAACGGTTCGTGGCCCGTTCGTTAGGGTACTGCTCCGACATTCGTCTATTGTTGATTGGAGAAACCACGGAAAACTGCTGATCAGAGCAGCCAGCCGCTAGAAATCTCCTCCAGACACGGTTGAATTCGATGTAGCAAGATCTGCTAACGTGTGTTCAGGTCGAAAACCCTGCCATCGGGACTCGAACCCTTCGACCACTGGTCAGAGGCACTGCAGTAACATTAATTGGAAGCCCTGAGTCACCTCAGACGGTCATCCACTTGTGGCATGCTTGCAAGTTTGAAACGGATATTTTAATTTTTTGGTGTACTTTACATGAAACCTCAAAAACATTTTCAAAATTTTCTCAAAAATTGTTCAAAATGTTTTGATTCAACTTTGCCCTCGGATAGCGCAAAGGACGTTGAAAAGAATGGTGCAGGTTTCATTTTCGTTGAAATTCCTGATATTTCGAAAATTGCATAAGTTCAAATTTTATCGGGCTTCCTGCAACTGCAGTATTGAAGGTTGAGATTTTTTTCTGAATAAAATCTATTTTGAAAGACAGACCTCTAAATAAAGACATCTACAATTTTTCGAAAATATGAGTGGTTTTGCGTAATTTTGTGTGAAATTTAGTCAATTTTTAAACAGTTTTCTAAAAAATGGTTCCATATGTTTTCTTTATTTTTTGCTTTCTCGCCAATGTTTACGGAATAGAGGCTGCGGATGTAAGGCTGCGCGAAAAGAAACGGCGAATTTTCTGCAGAAAACTCTTATTACAGGGCCTTGGCAACGAAGAAGTGGATAAATCCAGTTGCTAAATTTAGAAAAAAATTCTCTAACACGTGGTGTAGCCAGAATCCATGTTTTGTGTTCTTGATACCGAAAAATAGAATGACGGGAAAACATATCCGTCTGTCCGTTCGTTCGTTCGTTCGTTCGTTCGTTCGTTCGTTCGTTCGTTCGTTCGTTCGTTCGTTCGTCGATCTGTCCGTCCGTCTGTGAACAACGCTAGCGGCTAAACCGTTCACCTGATTTTCTCCAAAATGTATATCCCCCAATCGTTCTGTCTGATGTCTCTGCCCCTTGAATTTGAAGCCAATATATTAATTTTTGTAGGTACGTCACATGAAGTCCTTGGGACATTTTCCAAATTTTCAAAAAAATTGCTCCATCGTTTTTATTGAATTTGTGTGAAGGACGTTTGAGATGGGTGCAGATCTCATTTTTGTTAAACTCTCTGATTTTTCGAAAATTGCAAAAATTCAAAAATTTTTCTAGATCTCTAATTATAAAGATAGACTTTTTCCCTTAATGAAGTATGTTGCTTAAGGATATTTAAAGATAGATTTTGAAACAAAGTCATGTTCAATTTTTCGAACATTTGGGTACTTTTTGCGTAATTTTGCGAGAAAGTGCGGACGAGAAAATGCGTTATGGTTTAGCACCACTAATGTTAATCTAGTATGTATCAAAGAACGGGAAAAATTGGCAGTAGACCCATTTCCGGCAAACTCTCTGAATTTTGGAAAACTTCAAAAAAGTAACATTGCTAAACTAAAATTTGGTAATGTAGGTTATTGTCTTAGGAAAAATATTTTCTAAAAATTAGAATTATAAATACGTGATGCACAATTTTTTAAGAAACTACTAGTGTTCCGTCATTTTCTGTTTGAATATAAGGCAAATTACAAAAAAGTCTCAATAAACCACTCCCAATTTTTTTATCCTTTTTTTTTACCGGTAGAGCAAGGTACGCTTAAAAGAATGACGCGGGTATAATTTTTCCTTGATATTTGAAAATTGCGAAAGTATTTTCGAAAATTGTGAAAATGAGGAATAATACAAAAATTATGTACTGTTGTAGCACCATACTAATTCATTTCATGCTCTCGTTTCGGTTACTAGTTTTTTAATCTTCGTCATTATTATTCGATTCCCGGCCGGGGGTGTCTATTGCTTTGTAC